ATCTCAACATTATGATCATCTGTGATCACAAAAGAACTTGTTTTCACTATCTAAAAGTAGGAATGTCATCCCGAACATCCTGGCCAAATTCCAACTTTGTAATTACTACCTATTGAGTGAACACTGCTATTAACTTGGGTAATTATACATACCAAACTCCTACTCATGCATATACTTAAAGTAAACATTCATTGTACAGCTGTGGGTAGTTTTATGAGACTACACTAGATAGAAATTTTCTATGCAAAGAGAAAAACTGAGTAATGGTTGGATAAAATATAAGAAAGGGTCAGCAGCAATAGAACGTAATATACTATCTTCACTAAAATTCAGAACTGTGTTGTTCAATCACTTTTTGTGTGTGTGTGTGGGAGGGGGTGTATGTGTCCCAAATCACCTGAGGTAAGGAGAGGCCATGCTCATACTGCTATCAATCAGAGGTGCTACCTCTGCCAGCAGTTATCATCACGGCATCATGCTCAGCTAAGAACTGCCTTCAGAATCTAAATGGGTTCATTTGTCCATTCATTCATTCAACAAAAAATTTATGTATCTACTACGTCTCAGGCATGGTTCTAAGCACAGGGATACAAGGTGAACAAGGCAAGGTTCCTGCCCTTAAGGAGCTTAAATTATAATAGAGAAAAAGACAGTAAACAAATAAATCAATAAGTAATAGGAAAGATACTGAAAGAATGATGGTACACAGTAACTTGGAAGAGGTATTTAATATATAGGATGGCCAAGTAAGGTTTTGCTATGAAGAGGTCATTAAGCTGAAACCTTAAATGGATAACACGAAGCCAATTGTGAGAAGCCAGGAGAAGTGCGTTCTAAGAGGAAATAAGTATAGTGGCCTTGAAGCGGGAAAGGCTTGGTGCGTTCAGAGAACCAAAAGGCAAGTGTGGCTAGTAAATAAGAGGTTGAAGTGAGGGACGATGGACAAGGGCTTGATTAAGAAGGACCTGTTGGCCTAGATAAGGAATTTGGATTTTCTTGTGGAGGTAGAAATACAAATCTAAACATAAGTAACTCACCATCCTGTGAAGATTATAATATGCATCTTCCCATCACTTCACTGAGAATCCTATTCTAGATCTTTGCTATTCAAACTTTGGTTCAAGGACCAGAAGCATCAGTTTTGGCATTAACAGGAAGCTTTTTAGAAATTCAGAATATCAGGCTTTATCTTAGTCCTTCTGAATAGGAATCTGTATTTTAACTGGTGCTCAGTATACACATGATAGGTTGAGAGGCATTCACCTAAAGTGTTGTTCTGAAAAATCAGTATCTGCAACTAATATCAAACCATATGCGCTACTGCAAATAACCAGAAGCTGGTTTAACAGTAAATTAAAAAGAAAAAAAAATTACTACACTGTTCTACAGAGAATGCAAATTCTGGATATTTCCAGTTTCTGAGAAAGATCTTAAATATGATCAGACCTAAATATGTGAGAGCAGAAAAGAATTAAGAAAGATCATAAACGATGCTGCCACTTCACCTATTTGGCATAGTTACTTTAAAGACAAGATGTTCTGTAATACAGAGATATTTTGTGACAGCAGAGTAAACTTCATTTTCCAACTAGAAGAGCTGATTACCTGTCTCCTGCCAATTCCTGTCTATTAATGGAGTAAAGCCCATATCTCAAAAATATAACTTTCATGACTGAGTCCACCTCATTCTTATCATTTAGTCTTCTCATGCCTTATATTCTCAAATGTTTATCTTCTAATCTCCTTGTTCTAACTGTTCCTCAAACTTCTTAATTTTGAAAAATTCCTAAACTACAGAAAAGTTGAAAGAATAGGAGTCAACATCTGTACACTCTTCACCAAGGGTAACTGTTAACGTTTTGTCACTTCTGTTTATCTTCTTCTTTCCCCCTTTTTCTCTGTGCACACGCACACTTGTTTCTGAATCGAAGTAGGAGACATTTTTGATCAAGGATCCAATCATGGGTCACAAACTACATTTGGTTTTCATGTCTCTTTAGTCTCCTCTAGTCCATCTCCCCCCACTCCTTTTTTCTGGTTGTCATGACATTGACACTTTAGAAGAGTTCGGGACAGTTGTTCTAGAGAATGTTCTACAATATGGATTTGCCTGTTTTCTCAAGATGAGGTCCAGGTTAAACATTTTGGTGAGAACACCATAAACTGATGTTGTCTTTGAATAGTCCTCATAGTTCCTGAGATTATGTTTTGCATTCCGTAGTAAATTATAAATAAGCTCCTTGAAAGACACAGCCTTGCTTTTTATTTCTTTGGTAATTCCTCAAAGAATGTAGCATAATCTCTGTATACATTACATACGCAATAAATAAATGAAAACTTGCAAGCAGAGTTGAGAACTGTTTCTAAGAATACCCATAACTGTTACACATTGAATACTTTTATACCAGACTAGAAACATTTGGGCTTTGCCTCTAAAATTTTTGTGAGAAATAATTAAGCATGTAAACAGTCTAGCACAGTCCCCAGTACAAAATACTTCTAGGAAAGAGCTGGGGCTAAAGGCAGATAGATATTAAGCAGACTGGACTGCTGAGGTTGGAAGGTGAGGGAATAAAGGGTGTAATCACCTATTACATCCCAAAATATTTTTATGAGTAAACTGGGCTTTAAATGGATGATTGGGACAACAGCAGATTTAATAAAAATCTCATCTTTTAAGTCTCACTTGAGTTAGATACTGATTAGAAACTATTTCTCAGAGAAGAAAGAAGAGCAAAATAGGTCATTTATTAATTCCTATATAAATAATAGGGCAGTTGAGAACAGTTCACAGGACAATAAAAATATGGTATTAAAATCAAGTGTGTTATACAAGATGGGGTTCAGGGGATATTTTTAAAATTATTTTCAAGGCATCTAGTAATTCAAAACTTCACATCTAAATGAAGCTTACTAGATTGAAAGTGAAATTAAAACACTATCTAATATGTCATGCAAAGGAAAGGGAAGCGATACCTACGACTTGTTTGAAGAACTGCTTCTAGACAGAACAAGACACCAGTAAGTAATTTAGATATGGTATATTAAAGAACATTTGGTATATAAGCTATTCCTAATTAAGACCAGGTGTTGAACTACCAGCTGACATTTTGAAGTATGCCAGCTAGTGATTAAGATTATTCTACTCTGCCCAAACATGTTTTAAGTGTTGTTCATTATGTAATCCAGTTGCCTTTAAGATAGTGTTTACGCTTCTCTTTTGCTGCATATATTTACACACACACACACACACACACACACACACACACACGACAAGCTATTGAAAGAAACACAAAAGTTTTATCTCATCCAAATGCAACCCGGGGAAATGTACCACTACATGATGCCTATAAATGTCTTATGTGGTGAGCTTCTGTAGATTTATATTTCATGAGAAAAAAAAAAAAAAAGGTCAACGTCATTTTCAGAAATCTCATAGCTGCCAGACAACTTTGTAATGCTGGACAGAAAATTTGGACACAAATTCTAAAAATCTGAACAAACAAGCTGACTTTATTTTTCTAAACAATACTACTGAAGAAATCTAAAATTATTATGTGAGTGCTAAGAAATGTTCCTTTTAAACCAAGATATATTCTGAAAAGCAATCATGCAAATACACTTAAAATCTACTACACGCTGTATAAAACCTGATGATTTAAGATGTTTGCCCTTGAGATATACAATATTACATAATGAATAGTTTTTATGACCCACTTAGCTAAATAAACTCATGTTTCTTCTCATTTACAGAAGAGTTATTTGATTTGGCTGATGAATGTAGATTTTTGGTTTTATAAAAAAGAGTAATTAGGGATAATTCAGACAGCCAAGAATTACATGGGCAGATGATACGCCATATACAATTAGCCTTTACAAATAGCTCTCTAGCAAGAAAGTGATCCTAAACTTGTGTATCAATGTTATTCTCTTGCTTCAGCGTGAGGATTATAGGTATGCTAAATAGTGGGATAACAATCAATTCTGTGACAATAAAACACGTTCAGCTATCTTCAAACAGATAAATACATTCTAACTATATGACTATCACAAATACCTTTCTAATAAGTTACCTCAATATGGTATTTGATCCTACATAGTATTTTCAAATATTATCTTTTTGTCTCATGGGGCCCAATTCCCATTCCCTTCAGTATTTGTAGAGAGAACTTTATAATTATTGTCAGAACTCCAGGTGTGAAGAAAATATCTGAAACTATTGATAAAGAGGGGAGTCAATTTCATTTCCTGATAACTTGCTCCACTTTTCTTAAAACCATTTCATAAAATTATCTACCTGTTTATCTAAAGATTCTTAACAACTTGAAAGGCAAGATTATGTTAAAAATATAAGCCGCAATCCCTGTTTGTCAGGAGTTTATAGCTAATACTTACATAAATTATAGTAAAGATAAGATGAAATGCAGGAGTCTAGTCACAAAACTGAACCAAATAGAATATACGTATTCATCAAATAAAGATTTCTCAATCATAAGTGGAGACAATAAAATGACTTTTATTGCAGGGCATCTGCTAAAAATATTTCACATTTTTAAAAGGATACCATACTGAAGAGCATAATATTCTCTTCAAAAATTCAAGAATGTGAAGAATGTAAAATTATAGGTAAGTTCGGTTTGTCCTTTCCCCCAAGAAACTTACAATCCACTGGGCTCAGCATATATATCCCTTAAAATGCTTTATCTCCGGGGCTTCCCTGGTGGCGCAGTGCTTGAGAGTCCGCCTGCCGGTGCAGGAGACGCGGGTTCGTGCCCCGTTTCGGGAGGATCCCACATGCCGCGGAGCGGCTGGGCCCGTGAGCCATGGCCGCTGGGCCTGCGTGTCCGGAGCCTGTGCTCCGCAAATGGGAGAGGCCACAACAGTGAGAGGCCCGCATAACGCAAGAAAAAAAAAAAAAAAAAATGCTTTATCTCCTTGAGATACAAAATTTGAGTTAGGAAGTGTCAGAAAACATTACGCATCCCCTACGTGGTATTTACCTGATCTTGCAGTGACATTACTGGATTATTTTTGGTAGTGTTGATGTGAAGAACATGGTATTTATTCTTTGCACATAGGTCATAGGCAATATTGGTAAAAGAGGTGCTTGCAGTTTTGGGGACTCTGTTATAAATGATCACCATGTCTTCTTCCTCATCTAAAGCTGCATCTTGCCGAGGGCCATCCATCGTATGTCGCTGCTCAATCTCTCGAACTTCATGTCTTGCAATAGCCCTTTCTGCAAAGAAAAACAGATCATGAACTTAGTTTTAAAAGACACTATAAGGGGGCTTCCCTGGTGGTGCAGTGGTTGAGAGTCCGCCTGCCGATGCAGGACACACGGGTTCGTGCCCCGGTCTGGGGGGATCCCACGTGCCGCGGAGCGGCTGGGCCCGTGGGCCGTGGCTGCTGAGCCTGCGCGTCCGAAGCCTGTGCTCCGCAATGGGAGGGGCCACAGCGGTGAGAGGCCTGCGTACCGCAAAAACAAACAAACAAAAGACACTATAAGGAAGTTGTAAACACTGAAAATAATTTCCTATTCCTGGAACATAGTTTTCCTATTCAAGAACTGGGTTAAGAGCAGCTGAAAAAATGTTTTGAGGGCAAAAAGTTCAGAATTACCTCTGAAGGATAATACATATGCATATGAAGAATAAAATAAACAGTCATCAAGTTTAGAACTCCACAGACCAGAGAGTTCTTCAGTGTAGTTCAAAAGACACTTTTCATTCCAATAGAATTTCTACAGCCTGAACTAATTTTCAAACACATAAAGACAGACTGAATAGAACACTAAACTTCACAGTAAAAAATACACTTAGAAAATAAATTACTTATAATTTAGGCAATGATTTTGAAATTTATTACTTAGGATGTAGTTATCGCCTGCTTTATCAAAATGTAGCAGGGCAGTGATTATAAATGCTGGTGTGATTTTTAGGTAACAACAGTAGAAACGACACCATAATAAAACCTTTTTCTTTTTGGTGTTGTATTACAGATAAGTCCTGGTTATGTTTATTCCTTAAATTCCATGGTTCCTCTAATTCAAATCTCTGTCCACCAAGCAGTTTGAAAAGCAGTGACATTTTGCTTTCGAAATCTTCAGCTTCAAATAAAGAAAGAAAAGGGGAAGAAATGAAGGGAAAAATATAAAAAGATTTCAAGTTACTTTGCACAAAGACAACTGTTCACACACGGCATGCACCCTCCTACCACCAGATCTCTGTGCAAGCTATCTTACCTGCCTTGAACTCTCATTCATACTCCCTCAACCTCGACCATACCTAGTAAACTCCTCAAACTTCACATTGAATTTAATCACTTGCAAGGGAACCATCATCTAATCTCCCTAACTAGGTCAAATCACACACACACACACACACACACACACACACACACACACACACAAAGTGTGTGTACATACTGCATACTGCATGTCTCATACATAATTGCAATTTTACATTATATTTGTGTTAGCATCTACCTACCATACTGGCGACAATTTAGTAAAGTGACATGAAAAAGCAATGTGGTATAATTACAATAACAAGTTCAGGCTTCAAATATTGTCTGACTATGCATATTAAATTTTGGTTCAGAAGATATGGCCACTATGTTAATACAGTATGCTCTGAGCTGAGGATTCACATTCAGAAGACTTGAATTAAAGTTTCAGGCCTGCTGTTTACTAGCAGTGTGCTTTCCAAAGCAGGAAGAGAAGCACATATACGCATACAAGTGTATCCATTTTCATGGGGGAGAGTTAGTTGGGAATGTGGAGAAAAAGAGATGAGCTTAATGTTGAACATACTGTCCGGGACACACAGGAGATAAAGATAATTGGGCTCATAGGTCAAGTGCTGAGAATAAAGGTTCATGCAGAAGAAAAACATCTGAAAAAACCATAGGAATGGATGAAACTACCTAGATAATGTAGAATACATAGCATGGAAAGAGACAGTAATCTTAGAACAGAATCTAAGAAAAAAAAGACACAAAAAAAGACACAAAAAAAGACAATGCATAGAAAAACACTAAGAATAAATAGAAAGAAAAAGAAATCTGGACAGACTTTTAAGAAACATATACCACATGTTTAGAAAGCATAATATTTTTCAAATTGACAGTACTTTGCAAATGAATCTATAACCAAGGTAATGTATGATGCTCAAGCATCTCCATAGGATATGGAAGCTGTCTCATTAAATTCAACATGTATTTATGGAGAGTTTAAGCATATTATATTCAATAATTTTAAAGGAATTTTATCTTCCAAACAACCTCAAACTATCACCACAGTCCAAAACTATTATGGTATTATTATGCCCACACACCCTCCTTTTTCTACTAAGGGAAATAAAACAGTACTGTTGTCATTTAAGGGCTGACAGAAGTGTGAGAGGTTTCCTAGAGCAGGCCAGACATACATGAAATTACCTTTACTTTTAATGGCTACACCAACAACCAACAATGCTGAATTTACTTTCACTAGTTTTTCTGAAATCAAGCATTTGGAAAAGAAACAGATTTTATTTTTTTAAAAGAAGTTATTATTTAGTCTATGGATTTTTTATTTTTTAAGGTGCTAAAACTCTAGCTGGAGCATGAAACTAGCATGTTTTTAAAATTAATCATTGTTTTTGGTTCACTATGTGTATTAAAGCATATGAACTCTATATTTCACACAATTTTAAAACATTTCTTAAATTATGAAAAGATGCAAATTCAGGTAACTACTTTCCCCATTCAAATAATACATTTATATGCATTTTCTATTTTTCAAATGTTTTTACTTTGCTTAAGCAAACAAGATAATTACTAATGTAGTGTTATGCCTAAAACTACATAAAAAGATAAAAATAGTGTGGAATATTAAGATAATTTTTGCTAGTAATATTAGTCTATAAAATCAAATCCCACTTAGTTGAAAAATAACAGTAACTACTGTTGATGGTGAACTACTATCTCTTTTCTCCTGTGACAATACTTAAAACCAGTAAGGATGTTTGCAATATGGCCATTTTCTTTACTTAGTAAGTACTCAATAGTTCCTTTTTTTTTTTTTTAATCAAAGAAGCTCTGCACCTAGTTAGTATAACTTCTGAGACTCTCTTAAATCAGTGGGGAAGCTTTATTAGTTACAGCACATTTGGAGTACACTTAGAGAATGTAGGCAGCATATTTAAAATACTAAAGATGCATTTTGAAGTAATGCTTTTTTCATGTTTGAGTAATGAATTATAGAGAATCTGCTATGCAAGTTATTTCAGAACTACTACAAAATGTACAACCTGCAAATAACATGGAGTGCAATCTGAGTCATGATATTACAGGCAGGCCAAGCACAAGTGGCACTAATATTCCAAACACTGAAGATGGATATTGAACTTCATGGCAATTCTAGTTCTTCTAGGCTCCTATTGAAGGTGGCATACATCTCAGTTCAGTGACCTTTCCACATGGCAGATTACCAACAAACACAAGTCTTTTATTTTTATTTATTTATTTATTTATTTATTTAAACACAAGTCTTTTAAAAGGTCATTCATAATAGCAATAATTACCTATTTCTGCATTGACAGGGCATTAAAGGCTTATTTATTGAAAGAACATAATGATCAAGCTAAGTATAAAGCACTGCATTAAATACACCAACCTAAGTCTTACAAAGGATTAAAGTCACAAGATGTATATATTAGACTACAGAAAAAAGAAAAATAACTGAAGAAAAGATTTTTTAAAAAATTGCAACATATTCTTTGACTAGTTTTTTTTTTAACATTAAGGTCATTATTTGGGGAAACACATTTTCTCGTTGAACATTTAAATAAATGTTCAATGTATTAAATAATTTAGAGAAATGTTTTGTATTCTGTACAAATTAAAGGACCCATGAATATAATCTTCTGCCCCCACCAAAGCTCAATTGTGCAATGGTCTCAGCAGAAAATAAACATTTTACAAATGTTCAAAATGTGTAGTATATCTGTATAGTGGGTAACATTTTAGGATTATAGGAATTAAAAAAACAAAAACGCAAATGGAAAGACCAGTAAATTGCCTTGCTTTCAAATACTGAAACTTCTGCATGCTAAAGTAAAAAATATATAGTTAGATAATAGGTAAATAAATAATAAATAAAAGGCAAAGAACATTAAGAAAAAAAAGACCAAATTTTTATTATCTATAATTATATAAAGAAAACATAGAAGTTGACAATAACAATATTAAGATTTCAGTAGATAATAAAGGTGGTTTGTAACAGATTTACACTACATACGTATAATAGAACAGAGCAAAAATATTCATTAGTGGCTCATAATGATTTTTTGGGTCACAGACCCCTTTGAGAATATTATGAAAACTATGGACCCTGTCTCCAGTACGGCTGACTTGTGCATTTCAGGGCTTCCTCTTAGAACCCAAATATCGGCAGGGGGCTCCATGACCCCAGTTTAATTACTTCTAAAAAAAAAATGGCTCTTGGACAGTAAAGCCTGATAGTAAACTGCCTAGAGGCATTAGTATGTATATTGAAAAAAGCGCTTACTCACAAGTTAAGAATTGCAGGCAAAGAGAAATCACAGAGGTAATTGGCAGCATCTACTGAAAAAATGTCTATGGGGAGGGTGCCTTGGCACAAAACTTGACCTGATAGGACTCCCTGGCAAGTGTGCCTATTGCAGAGCTAGATAATTTGGGCTCTAAGAGCTTGGAGCCATCAAATATCTGAATTAAAGTGGATCTTTAGCACTTTCTAGGGATAAATCCTGAGTTGTGTAAATCCCCAAATACTCTTCTGAAGTATAATTTATTCCCCATAAACTGTGCTTATAATGAGAAGTAAGAAGCAACAAAGTTGCACCAAAAGAAAGCTATCATAAGGTTAAGTGATTCCTTTTGCAGCACCACTTACTGTGAATGTACTGTCTAGCCAGACACTATCTGATCCCCATAGAAGTAGCACTTTGTAATCATTATGAATTAAATAAATTGGTTGCCTGATTATATACATCACTTTTTTTTTTTTTTTTTTTTT